GTAATCGATTATGGCTGTGTCTGTTTAACATCAGGACCCTTTCTTTGGTTCTACATTGTTATATTCTTTATTTATTTCGTTCCCCCCCCCCCCGGTGGGTCAATGGTAAGTTTATGGATTTTCAAAAACAAAACCCGGGGTTTGATTCCCCGCAGTGGATAGCCTATTGTGTGGTTTTGGGGTTTCAACAAATCACACGTGCATACATGCATTATTTCTTTCACTATTAATTTATTCTCTAAATCAGACATCAAAACTACAGTTAAGTTCTGAACTGTGTGGGCGACTTCTTGAATATGGATATTCGTTTCGACTTTTTTGGTTACATTGACTTTCATGGGTGTATAAAGCAGAAATAAAAAAAAAACGCTCACTTAAATTATCTGTTTATTTTCTAAGTATAAAATGTTTTTGTATTTACTTGCATTGTGAAAAGTATATTACTTATTTACTTATATTCAGTAATTCTTGTCGGTCAGCGGTGTTCGATTCATTTCATTACATATTGCACAAGAGTTTATCAGATGGTTTGTGAAATGGGTGTTTAATGAACACGGTGGTGCCCAGTTAGTGACAAATCTGCTGATGCCTTGATTTATCGTTATACCATCAGTCTTAGCTCACATTTAGCACGTGACATATGGCCCTAAATAGTGTTTCATAGACAAACACAGAGGGCGCCGAATCCACCCGTCGACAATTCAACGTGTCTAACACGTGCTAACGGTCTACACTATCAACGACACGCGACAGACACATTACTACCCCGTGCTTATGGAAATACTGTATACGCAGAGATTTCTCGAAGCGAAAATGGGATCTAAAGAGAACATGTGATATTCAATCCTCGTCAATCGCACATAATAATTAAGAAAGCCTATCAAACGAAAGATGACGAGGACAGGTGATATTTGTGGCAAGGTCTCTTGATAGAAAGTGTGGGAAAGTCGCGACAGCTGCGTTCACAAGGTAAGACAACCGTGTTTGTCCCTTCCCTGCAGGGCTACCAGCAGATGGCCCGACTTGAGCCGACGCTCACCTGTCCTTTTCGTGAGCTTTGCGGTGGGAACGTCGTTCGAGTGTAGCTCCCGAACGTCGTGTCTAACATGTGTCGTAGAGCTGATCGTTCTCGTGAAGGGGCATATGTTTTATTTTTCCTTTTTTTTTATTATTATTATAACTGGCATTTTAGTATTTAATTGAAATCAGCTTAATCAAACCCGTCTTAATGAGCCCTTAGTATTTATCAGGAATGTGTCATGAAAAAAGCAAGAAAACAAATAAGTTAGCATTTGGTATGTTTGTTTGTTTTGAATTTCGCGCAAAGCTACACGAGGGCTATCTGTGCTAGCGGTCCATAATTTAGCAGGAAAGGCAGATAATCATTACCACCCACTCTTAGGCTACTCTTTTACAAACGAATTGACCGTAACATTATATCGCCCCAACGGCTGAAAGGACGAGCATGTTTGGTGGGACGGGGATTCGAACCCACGACCCTCAGATTGCGAGTCGAGCGCCCTAACCACCTGGCCATGGTAGCATTCGGAAAACTATCATTTCAACATTTTTACAATTGAATTTCCTTCTTAGAGATGTAACGTCTCCAGTGTATTTAGATAAAAAAATCTCCCTTTAATTAGTTTATAAAATAGTTAGATATATCACCTTTAAAATGTAATTAATGCCATAATATCAAAATATAATTATTGTGACAGAAACTAACGATTAAGATTAATATTAAAAAAATTGTTTCGAAGAATTTCGCGCAAAGATACACGAGGACTATCTGCGTTAGTTATCCCTATTTTGAAGTGATAGACTACAGGGAAGCAGCTAGTCATCACCCACCGCCAACTCTTTACGAACGAATATTGAAATTAACTGTCATAACATAACTACCCTACGGCTGAAAAGGCGAATGTGTTAGGCGAGGAGTTTCGATCCCGTGACCCGCAAATTGAAAGTCCAGCGTCCTAATCACCAGGCCATGCAAATACCAAAAAAATTAATTATGGAATCCTATTGTAAACGATTTTTATAGACCAGAAAATCGTCCAGTAACGTTAACATACTGACTCTGTGTAAACTTTCGTTAGTTTGTTCCTAAAATATGTATAATCAGGTGAACCAAAATGGTTTGTTAGTTTGCTTACATGTTTTAGCACAAGGCTACACAATAGGTTATCTGCGCTCTGTCCACCATGGGGAATCGAATCCCGGATTTCAGCACTGTAAGTCCGTAAACTTACCGCTGATCCCATTGGTAGGGGAGGGGGCTGGTTGGTTTGTCAAAACTGTTGAGATCTGGTGAAGAGGAAAATAACTAAAGATGGTGCTGATAAAAACTATAAAACACATGCCTGAAATTCTTAGTTTCATTACGTGATTTTGCTGATGTTTTCATAATGCTAAGCTACACAATGGGCTATCTGCGCTCTGTTCATCGTAAAGCATCGAATCCCCGGATTTTAGCATTATAAGTCTGTAAACTTACGGCTATCGCATCGGGAAACTTTTATGTAGTGAGAGACATACAAATTTATTATATAATTATAGAAAAAAGTGAATAATTTCCATAATCAAAAAACAAATTTACATTTAGAATTTTTGTTTTTACAGGTCAACGAAATTGAAAGCATTGACAACCATAACCATTCCAATAACAAATTATGATGTTAATGGAAAACTAGAGAGTCCAAAGTCCAGCGAGTGTATTTAAAACTGTAAAGGCCTGATGACAATTCAGAAGTGTAGCAAATAAAATCATTGACTGTTTAACTGTTGACTCTTTCTACACCATTACAACATGCCAACGTTTTAAGAACCAAATTCGGTGAAAAGTCAGTACCAAGTTTGGAAATAATTGTGTCATTTTGTCGTGAGTTAGGTTTAGCGTCCAAAGCTACGACTTACTAAAAACTGAAAGAGTCTTTTTAATTTAAGACAATAAGTAGCTTTAAAAAAAAACATTAAAAACTTCTTACACCCAATCAATGAATATTGACAACACTATTAATCACGTGCTGTTCTCGTGGATTCAAAGGGCTTTACTACAAATAAACGTAAGAAAGGGTTTTAGGGCAGTTTAATATACTATAGCTAAGTATACTACAGCGGCAGAAAAGTCGAGAAGTAAAGAATGTTTCATATTATTTAACAATAATTTTGCTTCAGAACCATAATTTGAAAAACAAAAGCTAAAAAGAAAAGATCGTGAAATTTATTTACAAATGTTCAAGACAAATCAATGTTGCGAATTTCCTTATGGAGGGAAACCATTTTTTTAGGGTCGTTCAAGACAAACAGTATAGAGCTATCCGAATTTAAAAGCAAGTCAGTTCAAGATATGGCCACCAGGGGCGGATCCAGAGAAGGGGTTGCGGTGTTGGGGTTAATATTGTAATGTTCCTGATTGTTTCAAAGAAATCACGGACTCTGCTGCCAAGTATAGTTTTTGCACAACCTAAGGTGACTCTGTAACTGAATTGTTTTCTAAAGGTTTCATGACCTGGTGGAAGAACCACACACACACACACACAAACACACGCCACCCCCCTCACAAAGATCCTGAATTTCTACCAGGAAACTAAAAAACAAAAAAACAAAAAATAACAAGTAAAATACTTACATACAAATATATAATACTTGACAGCAATGTACCACCATCACCACAACCTAAATATTACCATCAAGTGACAAAAAGACTTCTTCGGTGCAACTAAGAAATTAAAGTTCCTTCCTGGCAAGAGACCAGACCAATGCTGGTTTTTTTTTGGTTATTATAGACAGATGATTCTCTAGACATGAGGTTCACAAGAATTTAAAAAAGAAAAAAAAAGGATCGTTAGACGTATAGCACAAAGTTTTATGCAAACTCAAAAACCATTGCTTGCACATCCAGTATCTTGGCTTAGCTATGTACACATCTGTTTGTCTACGTTTTAATAACTGAATCCTACTTATATAACAAAAACTTGGAAACAACGAACTGTACACCTGCTTAGTACAATATTAGCTATTTGCCAGTCTATCTACTCATCACATGGTGTAAATTTCTGAAGAAAAAAAGTTGTAAAAACGAGCAGCAACTTTCCTTTCGTGTGACTTCAGTTTTGATAGATGGGGAGTCAGAGTCATGGAATTACTACTTAGACTCTAGTGAAAACAGTTCTTAGTTAAACAGAGTTTCTAAAGACCTAAACAGTCAGCTCATATACGTAGTAAGCTGAGAAAGGACTGATGCGATATCGCACACACAACATTCACTGCGGTGATCCTCGCCTAAAGCGATATCGCACACGTAACGTTCATCGCAATGATCGTCGCCTGAAGCGATATCGCACACGTAGCGTTCATCGCAGTGATCCTCGCTACCCCATTCTCACAATAACAACTCTTCTGTTCTTCCAAGTGGATTTTGGGATTTTTATTCTACGAATGTACACTCAAAAGACAATAACAAAAGACAACATGGTGTGGAAAAGCAAATGTAATTTGTATATGATACTTTCCTTCATTTTACTGCATACTTACTAACCACGTGCAGGTTGAACAGCACGACATTACATGAAATAAGCAATTTAAGGAGAGAGAGAGTACACAGAGTCCTCGTGAACCTTTAAGAACTTTATTCACAGCATAGCCCCCCCCCCCCAGTAGCACAGCGGTATGTCTGCAGACTTACAATGGTAGAAACCGGGTTTTGATACCCGTGGTGGGCAGAGCACAGGTAGCCCATTGCGTAGCTTTGTGCTTAGCTTTAAACAAATAATACACAAGAACGAACTTTGGTATTTTTCTTAATTAAATATAATGACGGTTTCCTCTTAACAATTTAGATCTTTCAGAAAAGTCTTTCATAGATATTAATGTCAACATGAAGTCCAATCTACCAATCCATTCACCATTTGTCACTGAGTTGTATCCTTAAATCAGTGAATCAGATGATAAGTTGGGTATCATGTTTAATGTATTTTAAACAGCTTATCTGCTGAATAATTCAGAAGAATGAATTAGTAACATAAACGCTGAATTTTCTTCTTAGCCTACATACATGACCATGTAAAATCATGTATATATATATATATACTTTACAAAAATAACTCATTTATTTCAGTGTCTACTTTTCTCATCCTCAAAATTTAAGATTATAAAATCAAACCCAAAAAGTTCAAAGCCGTATTAGAGATCATCAAGTCAGTCAGTCTTCTAAGAAAGATCTTGAGGTCTTTTTTAACACTTCGACATCAAAAGTTTCACAACACCGAACTAAACCCCTCATAACTCTTCGTAACTTGCTGCATTAAACGTGTAAAGTGTTGAATACTAAACTCAATTTTGGATCAGTCAGTTAAGCCTAAGCTCTTGAAAATTCCCTTTTTCTACTATATTTAACACAGAAGTTTTAAAACTCTAAACGTATCCACAAATAAGTTTTCCTTCATAATTTTTTCATTATCTCCAATAACAAAATGTAATAATAACAACTGAAATAACTTTAAATAACGTTATAATTATTATTTCTGTCGGCTTTAGAATTTTACACAACTATGTTATAGCTCAGTTTGTAGTCTTTGTATAGAGTTCAGTATACATATTTTACAAAGGCTCACTATATGAAAATGTTTTTCTTTTTAGTCAAATCAGGGTTTAGTAATAGTTGTCAACAACTTTTCTTAACACTGAATGATGGCGTCTCAAATAACACAAGACTCAGAGTGTTGTATGTTATAAAAAATAACTGTGATTTTATAGAACTTTGTACGGATAATAGGCTTTGGTGTTCCAAAGTCCGTGGCTTTATATTCGGTTTATCACTTATAAAGGTTTTATATTATAAACATGGGAAATAGGGATAACTATTTGAAGTTTTATATTCTAAGAATTTATGAGTGAAAGCAAAGAAGAATGTGTAATTATATGCCAACCACACTGTATTTGACATATATAGTGCCGACGGGGCATTTCGCCCAATACCAGAGCTCATCTGTAATCGTTACATATGAAAGACAGTTTATGACTGTAACAGTATTATGTATTTTAGTTAGATTATTTTAGTTTCTCTACTGCGAGAAAACCAAGCGGAAAGGTTTAGTTTATTTTCTGTTTTTGCTTTCAGTACTTTGGGTTCACTGGTTTCGAGGAATATCGCAATTCACAGTAAATGATTTATGTTTTTATGACCTTCACGCCATGGTAGGAAAATATTTCTTTCCCAAAGGCTTTCACAACTTCAGCGATTAAAGACCAAGGTTATTACACTTCGGTTCATATAGGTGTCCTATTTCATAAAATAAGAAAAAAAAAAAACGAACTGGTTCGCACTTATAAACCAGGATACCTTACACCGCTATTAGCGTTTTCTGTTTATCACTTGTTTAATATTATCAGTGTTAATTTTAGTTATTGTTTTTTTCTGACGTAACTCTTGCCCAACTAAGCGACATACTTGGAAGAGTACTTGGTCGACATCGGGATTTAGGTCTTGGAGACCTGGGGGTGGGGTCAGGTACTAGCTAGTAAAGTCATTGGTTTGGAAGGACTATTTGCGTTAGCCGTCTCTAATTTAGCAGTGAAAAAATATTTGGAAGGCAACTAGTCAAGATCATTCACCGCCAACTCTTGGGCTACTCTTTTACCAACAAATAATGGGATTGACCGTCACATTATAACACTCCCACGGCTGAAAGAGCGAGCATGTTCGGTGATGAGGGTTCGAACCCCCGACCCTCAGACTGCGAATCGAACGGCCTAACCACCAGTCCATGCCAGGCCCGTAAAGTCATTCAAAGATATAAGCATGTAGCGAAATCTTGAAAGATCCACCATGTTATAAATGGCAGAAATAAACAACGATTCAACAACTTGGAAGTAAACTTTGTTCTGATTTTTCAACCATAACTTAAGTTGATTCTCATTCCATCTTGAAAACGTTAACCTATGACTTTACCACGCTGAGATTGAAAGTAGTCAGCATCCATAATTCTACTAACTAATATTAATTACCGACCAGAGCAAACTAAATTACGTAGAGCGAAACTAAAAATCAAGCACGTAATAAGTACAGCTAATTAAACATGCTCTTCTTACGTTATTGCTTATAAAGAGTAGAATAGAATGTTCCATCAGTAGGGTACCCTCGCTGTTAACGAGATTTTCGGTCGTAAACCCACTGGTCGTTTGGCTACATTAAAAGATAGCATAATCAATGTTGCTGTCAAAGGATCAAGCCTTACAATACAACAATACAAATTATGTTTTGTTAGTTAACCACGAAAGACGCTATAAGATATATTACACGTATTGTTATTCTGTTCTGCTATAAATGTACTCTACTGTGTACTGGTGATAGTGTAATAAATAAATAAGTGAACAAATAATATGGAATTTTGGGGGCATAATATTAATAGGCAAACAAAAACCGAAGATTTCGTGAGAGGAATTTAGTTTTTAAAAGAAAGAAACTTTCCTCAACTGGAAAGTTCAGGAATGTTGTTATAATAGGCAAACATAGAACAATTTAGCGTTTTCCTTAGATAACGTGGCTCCCAGTAACTGAAATGACGTAATGATATATTTGTTTGTAATTAAGCACAAAGCTACACAATGGGCTATCTGTGCTCTGCCCACCACGGGTATCGAAACCCGGATTCTAGCGTTGTAAGTCCGCAGACATATCGCTGTGCCATTGGAGGGGCCTGTAATATATGAACACAGGGTCGGAGATATAAAAATGGTCTATTTTCAAGTTTGGTTGAAGCGCTACCTATATCAAGGCT